CAGAAGGGGGGTGCGACGTGCGAGATACAGGCGCAGAGCTGGAAGATGGAAGACACGATGCGACACGAACCTGCCAAGCAAAGGAGCATGCAGGAACGAGGCATGGCATCCGGCATTGCCCCAGGAGGATACAAGAGCCCAAACGGGGACAGAGCTAGGCAGTGACCCGGCGGGGTGGGGCGAGCGTGGACAGTAGGGGCGACGAGTTCAGACCCCTGTGCCTGCGCATGAGCGCGTCCCAAGCCATCCTGCGCAACATGCGCGGCGAGTACGTCTTCGCGCCCGCTGGCAGTATCCTCAAGCACTCCTCTTCAGCTCTACGCCTCGGTTCCCGGGGTGGAAGGCGTAAGTAAGGGCCTCGGTCCCCCAGGGCCTGAAGCTCCACTGGAGGCGGTAGCCGAGCTATGTGCGCAAAAGTGAAGGCGTTGAGGTCGAACTGCCGAAGAGGGGGCGCTGCGCCCGCCTGGGAGAACATATTTGCATCGGAGAGGTGCCCACGCGCAAAGGCAAAAACCAAAAAAAGGAGGCAGCGCGCTAGCCCGCCCGAGCAGGAAGCCCGCGGCGTGGCACTCAGGAACGAAGGGCCGCCCAGGGACAGTCCGGAACCCCGAGGGCGGGAAAAGGCATGCAGCGAGCAAGGGAAAGAGGTGAGCAAGAAAAAACGGAGGCGCCCCTCCCCGATGAAACGGGCATCCTGAGGCAGAGCCGCGCCGGCGCCCGCGAGCTCCGCCATGGGCGCCGCGCGCCCCCCGGCCAGCGGAGGCATGCGCGGCGGCTAGAAGGATGGCGCGGGAGAGTGAACAAGGCGCGAGAGAGCAGGGGAAGAGGAGGATGACAGGAGGAAGCGAAGGTAGAGAAGGAGGAGCAGGGGAAGGGGGCCGCCAGTGAGGCAGCACTGAGCGCGTCTGCCGCCCTTTCCCACGGTTCTCACGCAGGAGCTTCAGCCGTGAGCCCGTGCAGAAGACCGTCGGCGAGAGCACCGCGGAAGAGGAGTAAGAAAATTAGAGGTGTAAGAGGAGGGGGGGGAGAATGCGGAGCAGGAGTTACATTAGGAATACCCTCGTCGAGGGCAGACGTTACATGCTTTACACTTGGAAGCCCACGTCTAGTCCCACCAGCTTTCTGGGCGAAAGTGGTTCAACGCGGTTCCTCTTCCACCCGTTCCCTCTTCCGCGCCGGGGGGGTAGGTGGTCCACCCCTCCCCCATTACCCCCTCCCCTGGAGCTGGACGGGGCGCCCCGCGATCGATGGGCGCGCCCAAGACGGCCCATGATGGCTCGAAGAGGGCCTCGGGGAGGCTGAAGACGACCTCCCAAATGGCTGGGAATGGCCAGATATGACCGCAAACATACTGGAAGGTACCCCCCGACCGCCCCAAGGCGGGCCCCCGTGGCCACGGAGCCTCCCAAGGGGGCCCCAGGAAGCCCAAATCTTTGAAACACGTACAAGGAAATCAAATTTGTGTTGTCTTGCCTTCCGCCTGATTAGTTTCGATGCCCGTCCGGGAGCGATTGATTGCTCCAGGAGGGCCCAATGTAGCCCCAAGAGAAGCCAGAGAGAGGCCCGAGACGGCTCCAATAGTACTGAAGGGCGCCCCCAATGGCGCTCCAATAGGGGCCGATTGGCGAATTTGGGAGCTCCCGAGGGAGAGGGGGGGAAGCTCAAGGCCCCAGTCTTTCTTGGGTCGATCTCCTCCAATGTGATCCCGAGGGGCGCCCCCAAGGCCCCCGAGAGCGAGGGAAGAGGGCCCCGACAGTCAGAAGAGAAGTAGGAGAGGGAGGAGAAGAATGTCGTCAACGACAGATGTCGAGTTGACAGAGCAGCGAGAGAGCACTTGCTTCGGAACCTCCTCCCGGCCCCTCCTACCTGAATCCTTCAGACCCCCCCGTCTCTTCCTCCTGTTCCTTCCCCCCCCCATTGAATCTGGAGGATCCCCCCGAAATCCCACCTCCTCCTTGCCGCTCTCTCTGAATCCTAAACCTCCTGCTCATCCCCATCATCCCTCCATCTGAAGGTCCCCGACAGACCCCTCTTGAAGCAACCCGGCCGAGTGCGATCTGGGCCGGGCCCGGTCTGGCCGAGTCCGGCCTGGCCGAGTTAGGCCGCGGCCGAGTTCGGCCGGCCGAGTCCGGCCCGGCCGAGTCCGGACCCGACCGAGTCCGGCCTGGCCGAGTCCGGACCGCGCGCCACGCTGCAGCGAGAGCGCCGGCCGAGTTCGGCCGGGCCGAGTTCGGACTGGCCGAGTCCGGCCGGCCGAGTCCGGCCCGGCCGAGTCCGGACCCGGCCGAGTCCGGCCTCGGCCGAGTCCAGCCTGGCCGAGTTCAGCCTGGCCGAGTCCAGCCTGGCCGAGTTCAGTCTGGCCGAGTCCGGCCGGCCGAGTCCGGCCTGGCCGAGTCGCGCCTCCTCCAGATGCTGTCCTTGAAAGAACGCTGGGATCTCATTAAGAAAAAGCACGAAGCAGCACTGAAGGCGACCCGCCGATGAACGCACGAGACTGATAATGTACTTACCCCCCTCGCCAATCCCACCTTCCACCCTTCCCAGCCGCCCTTCGCCCGCAGGCAACGCAGACGGTGTCAGAGTCACCATGCTCCGTTGAGTTGATGTCGGACCGCCAGCTGAGCGCAGGAGAGAAGCTCGAATATAGAAGGCTAAAGGGGATCGCAAAAAGACTGGAAGCAGGAACAGGCGCATCATCAGCAGCAGAAGGAGCAGAGGCAGATTCCGAGGGCAGGAGCAGGTGCAGGAGCAAGCGCCAGGAAGCAGCAGACGGAGGAGGAGAATCTGCTCCGCAGCCCGCTCCAAGCACGCCGCCAATCAGGACAGTCGGAGCTGTGGGCTCCCCGTCCCCGCCGCCCAGCGCAGGACTGAACTCGTCGAATTCGTCAGTGTGCGATGAAGAAGGGATGCAAAAAGAGGCGGAAGCGATCTTCGAGCTCCAAAAGAAACACGAAGCGCTTGAGAAAGAACGCAAAGAAGAGGAGGAGAAGGAGCGTCAGCTTCATGATCTAGAGATAGACCTAGCTTGGAAAAAGATGGAAGCAGAACGCGAAGAAGAAAAAGAAAAGATGAGACTTGAGAACGAGAGAGCCGAGGAGGAGATGAGAAACGCTGAAGAGGATGAAGCAGCGGCGAAGTTGAAGAGAAAACAGGAGAAGGAGGAGCGAAAGAAGGAGCGACAGCAGAAACGAGAGGAGCACGAGCAGCTAATGCAAAAATACAGACAGGTGTTCGAAAGAGTCGAAGGGGTTGCAAGCAGAGTGCAGCTGATGAAACACGAGAACAAGAAAAAAGAGGAGCAACTGGAAGAGGACGCCAAATCTTTGACAAGCGTGGGTACACCAGGAAACCAAGAGAGCAAACGACACGCATCCGAATCGCTGCAACCACCGCCCCCCAAGAAGCAAACCGGAACTCGCGAGGACGCCCCAGGAAGTTCCCGCCCCCTCCAGGCCGTAGAGTCTGCGGCGCCGACCCCGAATATGGATGCTGCGCAAGTTGAGGCCACGGATGGGAGCAGCCTGGTAAAGCTACTTCAAACGCAGATCGCAAACATCCAGAATGAATCCGCAATTCCGCGCTCGGAGGAGGAAGCCCACACTGTAATGCAGGCCAAGCTCGCTGACCTTTACAAGACAAATCTGCTGACGAAGGTGGAAGGGATGAGGAAAAAGGATCCTAGGTACAAAGCTCTTCTGAAGAAGGATGGCGACAACGACGAGGATGAGGATCTCGATGAAGTCTTCGGCCAGCTAAGCGCATATGACAAAAAGAGAAGATGTACTACGACAAGATGGAGGCAGCGGGGTACAAATTCACCCTGGACACCACTCAAGGCAATGAAGCTGCAGGGCGATGGAACCGCGCGAAGGAAGCAAGCAAGACGATCCAGGAGGAATACAAGCAGGAGAAAGGCTGGAAGGCACAGAAGGAATACAGGGCTAGGTGGGCAAAAAAATGCCACTTAGATTGGAAGAAGGATGTGAAAATGGAGAAGGGTGAGAGCATGGAGAAAGAGGAGGCTGCTCTGGGGGAATATTGCACGCTTGGACGGATCGCGTGGCTAAAGGGGGGTGGGCCAACTGGCCTAGCCATTGCAATTAAATATTGCACTAGTTGTGCGATCATGGGCGGGATCTACACAAGATACTGTGATCTGGGAGGCATCCTTGAATTTCTCCTCGTGCGTCACCAACTGAACGACAGATTCACGAGAAGGTGGACTCGCACTGAGAAGTGGTTGGGCGAAACGGCTCTTGAGGATGGGGCGGCGGCGGCCAGCAGAGAGAGAGGCGCAGACGACGACGAAGAAGAGGAACCACCGTCTAAGAGGAGAAAGATCGAGGATCAGGAAGAGGAGGGCGCAGCGGGCCCCGACGAAGAGGGCGACAAACCAAAGAAAGACAAGAAGGATAAAGACACTGCGGACAACGAGCAGAAGACTAAAGACAGTGAGAAAGGCAAGAAGACCAAAGAGGCTGGCAAAGAAAAAGACAAAGACGGTGGCAAATCAAAAGGCGGCGTCAAGGAGAAAGACTGTGGCAAGGCGCCTAAAGAGCCTAAAAAAAAACACCGGAGTGGCTGACCAAGTTCAGAGCCGCGAAGCAGGCATACACGCAGGCCCTTGGTGAGGTATCCAAGGTGGAGGCTCTCATTAAGACCGACAAGTCCTGCGAGAAGCTGAATAACCTGAGGAAGCCGATGGACGACCAGCTGAATAAGGCGCCTTGATTGGCGTGCCGATCGTCCATGGGCTTCCCATAGCTCGTCAGCTTCTCGCGCCCGCCCCTCCTGCCATTAATTCGGGAATTTGATACCTCGAAGCTGCCTGTCCACCTCCACCGTTCAGCTCGTCCGCCGCGCGTGCACCCTGGAGTTCTTCGGACCCCTCGCCCCGCATCCTGAGCCCGTGGGCGTGTTTAAATCATCTTCTTGTCGTCTGATTCTCTTCCTTGGCCTCCCTCCTTCTGCTCACCTCTCCTTACAAGGTATCCTATCTCATGGTGCTCCCCACCCTCCGTCCGTGCCCAGGTGCAGAGCCTGTTTGCCAGCGAGAGCCTGCAGAAGATGATGGTCACGGATGAGGCCTCGCACAAGAAGCAGGCGCGGCTGGATGAGCATTCGAAGAGGGACGAGGCGGGGATGTGAGGATTTGGGGAAACCGATTGGAGGGTGTAGATTTTGAGAGGGGCCATTTCGCCATGACTTCCAGAGCCCAGGACAGCGGTTTCGGGTTTAGAAACGCCCCCCCCCCCGAAAAAAAGCGGCCTCCAGGTGACTGCAGCTGAGTTTGAGACACAGTGTGGCAAGGTGGCGGGCTGGAAGAAAGACATCGAAGAGCTTCTCCTGGAAGCAAAGGTTCTAGTCCGCCAGGCTTGGGCGAGAGACGAAGAGGAGATGCGTCTGCGCGAAGCTGCGAAGCCCAAGGGATCAAGCGGCAAGAAGACTGCGATCAAGAAGGACAAGAAAGAGAAGCAGAAGAAAAGTGAGAGCCCGAGCGACTCGGACTAGGAGGCCGAGGAGAGGAGAGGCGCTGACGGCAGGAAGCCCCAGGAGAGGCGCAGGCGGAAGCTCGAAGAGAGGCGCCGCAGGCAGAAAGCCCGAGGAGAGACGCTGGCGGCGGGAAGCCTGAGGAAGGCTGCTCGAGGCAGGAGGCCTGGAGCGCAGGAGGCTTGCGGAGGAGCGAGGAATTGAGGAGGGGTTCTGGAAAATGGGATCCGATCCAGGGCCGATCCAGGAAAAACCTGATCCGACGTGGTTTTCACCGAAAATTCCATCCGCCCAGCCGCCCATGTACCGGAGGAATTACGTAGGAATGTTGGGCGGAGGGAATGCGTAGGAAAGAGGAGGACACCATATATTTACATATATATATATATATATGTAAAAAAACGACAACGTAGGAGAAACATGTACCGGAGGAATTGCGAAGGAGTTGCGTAGGAGTTTGGGGGGCCTCTTTGGGGAGATGGGATTTCTGGCGGGGAAGCGTTCGCGAGCGGCCCGATTGGGCCCCAGCCGAAAATTCAAACCTTCGACGGCTGTGACTCGTGCCAGGCGCTGAGGCTGCAGCTGCTGAGGAGGGAGGAGAGCCAGGCGGCGGGAGGCACGCGAGCGCGAGGCAGCCGAGCACTGAGCATTCCCTGCTGTGGACGGGGCCGCATGGGACAGTGCGAGCGGGTGCCCAGGAAAATGAGAAGGCAGATCGTAGAACGTAGAGCTTCGGAGAGTGGGCGTGGGGCCCATGCGAGGGAGGAGGGCGGGAGGAGCAGTGATGGGAGGGGGAGGGGGGGGAGAGGAGGAGGAGGGGGGGGAGGAGAGGAGGGGGAAGAGAGGAGGAGAGGAGGTTGAGATGCCAGAGAGAGGGAGAGAGAGAGAGAGAGAGAGAGAGAGAGAGAGAGACGAGCGTTTGCATTTGCAGCAGCAACGTTGGCTCAATCTAAGATGGCGCCCAAAAAAAAGCAATGGCGCCGCCGCTCGAAGGCAGCCCGAGGAGTGCCAAAAAGGCAGTACATACGCAATGAGGCTGGAGAGGAGATGCGGCTTGCTGGAAGCAAGGCTTTTGAGATCCTGCTAACTGTATGGGCCTCGTGCAAAATGATATCAGCTAAAGACTTTTGTGTTGTCTGTGGTTACCTAGCCCAATGCAATGTGCCAGGAGGAAGATGGTCAACTTTCGGTCTTCCGCCCGATCTTGAATCGGGCAGATACAAAAAAGAGATGGACAAACACTTGCCCAGCGGAGGGCCATTCTACGCTGCTCGAGTGCCAGCGTTCCTGAGCAAGGCTTCGCATGAATGCAGCAAGACGGTCCTATTTAGGCAGGTCTTCCACTCGATCGCAGCAGAAGTCGAGGATAATAAAGACATTCAAGAATCGTTGAGGTACGGTGACACGGGCGATTACAGCAGTTTCATGTCCAATAGGGTGTACCAAGAACACCCCCACGTCCAGGAGTGCCTACAGGAGGGAGGAGGTTACCCACTGCCTTTGGCAGTGTACATGGATGGTGTAAGGTACACGGCGCAGACGGCTGGTCGAAACGAGCTCTCGACTGCGTCAGCTCCGCCGCCCCCCCACCCACCCGCCCCTCGCCCCTTCACAAGTACACGCGAACAACACATACAACCATTCGGCGTTAGCGAGGGGGGGATAACCATGCAGCTCACGCGCCAGGGTGCTTTGTAAATTCAGAGGGAGGGCAGCATCTTGGACGTTTCAATAATAAATATGATATCAAAAAAGAGACATCAACTCGGCTTCATGAAGGTGAGCGAAATGTGCGGTGTGGTTGTGGCGGGCACTGCTCCATATACTCTATGATGCAGGTTGCGTCCTTCCAGCTGCAATGCCTCATAAAGGGCTCGGTGCCAGACAAGAAACACGACGGGTCAGACTGGGAAGCATGGGAGAAACCCACCACGCAATTTTCGTTCAGGAGCGTTGTCGTGCTGCTGAAAGGCGACTGGGCAGAATTCGCCAAATCCATGGGCCTAACTGGGTGGGGGTGCGTGCACGACTGCTGTCCGATATGCCCATGTTCTAAGGATGGGCTGCCGATCGTGGACGGCGAGTTTTTGAACAACTGCGGTTTGCTGTGGGAAGATAGATCTGAGGAGGAGTACGAAGAAACGTGTAAATCCTTCGAGCACGAAGTAGTTGTGGGCACAGAAGAAACGCGCAGGAAGCTGTGGGCATTGCTGGTGCCAGTGAAGAACAAAGGCCTCCTGTTGAAAGCCGACTGTCCGCCCTTAGGCTTGCTGGAAGGTGACCGTCTTGAGCCGTCTCCTGAATGCCTGATACCTCTCGAGTTTCACAAGGTACCCTTGCCCTTCAAAGCTGTGTTCTGGCGACCGAGATGCGATTGCCTGGGGCGGAAACTAGGCTCAGTTACTCACAGGTCCCCCCTGTTCAGCGCGGCGCTCGGGACATCGCCAGTGCGGTCGCTCGCGCTAGACACGTTGCACACGGTGCACCTTGGATGCATGCAGAGGTATGTCAGCGCGGTCTTGCGCAGACTCACGTTTGCAAATCCTTGGGGTGCGCCGCGATCAACGGTTTGGAACCGACTTGAGGCATAACTCATGACATATTATGAGGAGGAGGAGGTGCCGCATGAAAATAGGATCGGAACGCTGAACGAGAAGATGTTTCCAGGAGAGGAGTGCGCCTGCTTTGGAGGAGGAATTTGCAAGTTGAAAGGTTCGGAAACCTTCCAGATTCTGAAGTTCGCAGTCAACAAGTTGAAGTATCATGTAGGATCGGGCTGCGAAGTCCCGCATGGAAAGGAGCTCGTTGAAGCAGGTGAGGCCCTGCTTACTTGGATGCGGGTTTACCACTCCGCGAAGTCTAAGCCGACAGTGTCGGAGTACCAAGTGTTGCGCGAGAGTTGCGTCGTTTTCCTGGTGAACTGCGACCTCGCTAAGATCCACTTCACTCCGAAGTTCCACCTCTTCGGGCACCTGACGAAAAGGAGCATGGGGTTAAAAACTTGAACCACTGGAAGCATTATAAGGAGGAGAAGGGGAGGATGAGGAGGAGGAGGAGGAGGAGGAGGAGGAGGAGGAGGGGGAGGGGGAGGAGGAGGAGGAGGAGGACGGGTCAGGGAACGGGAAAGATGCGAAGGATGAACAGGGAAGGGGGGCATGAGAAATGAAGGGGGGGGGGGGGGGGGGGGGGGGGGGGGGGGGGGGGGGGGGGGGGGGGGGGGGGGGGGGGTGGGGGGGGTTGGTGGGGGGGGGGGGGGGGGGGGGGGGGGGGGGGGGGGGGGGGGGGGGGGGGGGGGGGGGGGGGGGGGGGGGGGGGGGGGGGGGAGGGCGGGGGGGGGGGGGGGGGGGGGGG